TTGGGGACTTCAACAGCCAGAATCCCCCAGACAACATGGCTGCCTAAGGAATTCTGGTCGTTGGAAGTCCACAAGCCTGAAAGTTGTCAAGTTCAGAGAATTTACTCATTTAGCCCCACTTTCTGATTTTCTACTGGGTTTCAACTAATTAAATGAGCTGGGCCCGCATAAATCAGTTTGCAGATCACGTTTTGGCATTTGAGGCAAACAGTATTTGGATTTTTTTTTCTCTGCAAGTGGAAGAATTGTTTAAGAGAGAAAATGTTAAGAAAACCTGGCTCTTTTTGAAACCTCGGTGCCAAATATTAGTCGGTCCATCCAGATGAGCTAGACAGAAACACCGCCAGACAAGGGAATTCTATTTTATTTAAAGGCTATGTTGACAGAATCTTTTAGATCTGAAGTTACAAACTTCCCAGCTCCCCGTTTTAACTCCTGGATCAATTAAGATGGCTCCTTTCCAAGTTTTTTTTCCTCTGACTTTTAAACAACTGGGGGCTCCAGCCTCCCTTATCTAATTGTTTCTTCTAAGCACCGTTTTCTTCCCTTGCTCCCCCAAGGTTACCCTCACATTTCATTAGGATATCAACGTTCACAAAAAGACACTCGTGATGCTTAGTCAGAATTCCAGGGAGAAAACCTTCTTCCTGGTGTTTTTTTTAATTTTATTTTTTTCCTTTTTTAACTGCCAGAAGACTGATGACCCACACAGGGGCAAGTAAATCCTGACATTTTTATGAGGAAAAGAGCACCGAGGACATAAAAGATAAAAATCATTCACTAGAGGGTTCTCCTCCAGGAGCCGTTGCAAAATGACATATTGCCTGGGATCTTAGAAATCACATAATAGCCACGGATAGGCAAATTTATGAAGCAAGTGGGTTCGATTGCTTTTAAAGACATCTACACCCCCTGAATTACCAAACGAACAAGACCAAGATATCTACTACTCCACTGGCTATTTTAATGGTGGCTTGAGGGAATTTGAGTGTATACTATTACCCAGAAGTAATGCTACGTTAATAAATCTTTTTCTTTAAAGGCTCTGTATAAGCTAATTCTTACTTTTTAACAGAAAGCTGTTGCCCAGTTTCTAGAAACTATGAAATGCCAAGCAGTCAATGATCTACTTATTGCTTGTCCAAGCCATAAAGCGTGAGTAGGGAAAGCGTGTGTATTCTTCTCAAGGACACAGCTCTGTTACTCTGTTATACAAACCTCTGTTACTCCCTTACTTATTACATAGAAGTATTGAGTGACCTTCTTGGCTGAGTTTACACACTGCATTAAGCTTAGATTTTGTTAGTTATGTGTTGTGGCCTGGCAGGAGCCATTGGAGCTGCCACCAGACTCCGACAGCGAGGGCCCCTATGAGTCGGCTCTGGAGGATGTGGAGGACCCTGGACAGGGTTCCGACTCCGAGCAGGGCGCAGAGAGGCTGGTTGGCCACCAGGAGGCACCTGAGGTGCGCACTGGGAACAGGCTCCAGCTGTTCCTCTGCCTCACTGATGTCTGACTCTGAAGGCACCTGATCACTGCCAGATGGCCTCAGCCCCCTCTCTGCCTCCGACGCAGAGCCCTCGTCCGAGCTTTCCACAACCTCCAGGACTGGCCCATCTTCCTCCCCAACCTCCTCATTGTCTGACTCTGCTGCCAGCTTCCCTGGCCACGGGCAGCCCAACACACCATGTTGGAGCAAACCCACTGCTTCTGGTGG